AATTACACAGAGAAAGTCATTTACTACATGCATATGTGACACAGACTTCCCACAAAAACACAGAACGTAATACACTGCATGCACGAATACTATGAGACAGACTTCCAATTACACATAGAACGTCATTTACTACATGCATATGTGACACAGACTTCCCACTACACATAGAACGTAATACACTGCATGCAAGCATACTATGAGACAGACTTCCCCTTCGGTCGTACATACAAACAAGCAGAATAATAGTATAGATAGGGAGGTCACAAGTGCTCCTCGGTCGTACATACGAAATGCGGTATTTTAGATATGTGTTAGGCTAAACAGTTTCATTCTTATAGATTTTTGTCTATAATCGTACAGGCGAGAAGTTGGATTTACAGCTCCTTAACTTAGTGTTTTTGGCTTCACTTCTTTAACTTGGAATGCTTGACACGTCTATAAGAGATATAACAAATTAAATATTGGCAGTGCGGATGTATCCTCGAGAGAGAAATATCTTTTAAACTATACGGTTTTGTATCTTCCAAACAAGCAAAACAGTGCTGTAAGGAAACGTAAGCTGAAACTTGACGGCTTTCACGTACTGTTTTATTAGTACTAAAACTCAATAATCAAAAAACTCTCTCCTCCATCAATCGAAAATGTGGTAAAATTCTGCAAATCATAAAAAAAAATTGTATTTATCTTTTCACCTAATACTCTCACATTTTTACAATCTCTATTCTGTTGAAACGTTGGTTTGATATTCAAGTTTAATAGTGTATGTGCTACTACTATATCTTATCACTTTCCACCGTGGCAGAATAACAGAAAATAAGACGTGGGAACATTTGAGATAATATTGTTGTAATAATGACAGGTTAGGAAATTATGGGAAAGTTTGTATCACGTAAGCATGTAGAGAATGACGTTTTATGTGTAGTATGGCGTTTGTGTCGCAGTATCCATGCGTTGAATGAAGTTCTATGTGTAGTGGAAAATCTGTGTCACGGTATGCATGCAGTGAATGGCGTTCCATAGTTAGTGGGGTGTTTGTGACGCAGTATGCATACAGTGAATGAAGTTTTATGTGTAGTGGAAAATCTGTGTCACAGTATGCATGCAGTGAATGGCGTTCCATAGTTAGTGGGGTGTTTGTGTCACATATGCATGCAGTGAATAGCGTTCCATAGTTAGTGGGGTGTTTGTGACGCAGTATGCATACAGTGAATGAAGTTCTATGTGTAATAGGAAGTCTGTCTCATAGTATGCTTGCATGCAGTGTATTACGTTCTATGTGTAGTGGGAAGTCTGTGTCACATATGCATGTAGTAAATGGCGTTCTATGTGTAATTGGAAGTCTGTCTCATAGTATGCTTGCATGCAGTGTATTACGTTCTGTGTGTAGTGGGAAGTCTGTGTCACATATGCACGTAGTAAATGACTTTCTCTGTGTAATAGCACTTGTGACCTCCCTATCTATACTGTTATTCTGCTTGTTTGTATGTACGACCGAAGAGCACTTGTGACCTCCCTATCTATACTATTATTCTGCTTGTTTGTATGTACGACCGAAGAGCACTTGTGACCTCCCTATCTATACTATTATTCTGCTTGTTTGTATGTACGACCGAAGAGCACTTGTGACCTCCCTATCTATACTATTATTCTGCTTGTTT